GGAGATGCTTGAAGATCCGAAGATTCTATGAACAAATATGATGATATTTGTGTAAGTAATCCTTGATTTGAGTGAAAGGATGTAAGATAAACAAGTGTAGGATGAAGTTAATTATAAAAATTGGAGGAGAATACTCAAGAACAACCTTCAATTTAGAGTTTAGAGAGAGAAAGTGTGTGTGTGTGTGAGAGAGAGAGAGAAATAGGTTTGCTTTTTGGTGAAAGAGCGAGTAATGTGGGATGAGAGGTAAGGATTTCCAGCCTTTGATCAAGATCATATGTTGGAGAAAGAGGGTGAGAAGACAAATATTTGACTAGGTAGGGATGAATAGTGACTGAGGATGGTCATAAAGTGGGTATGGACGATAGCTTGTGTCATAACTTTATGGCAAAGTCAACACTCCACCTTAATATCTAACCCGCTAGATATTATTCTTAGACACATATTTCCCTTAAAACGTGTTTAAATTATGAATATATAGGGTATTATATGTCAAAATATGAGTTTTGGTGAAAATCCCACGTTAAAATCATGAAAAACGGGCTTAAAACGCGAAAGTGGTCGAAAACCGGGAAAAGAGAAGGAATTTGCGAAAATCCGAGATCAGTACCGAAGGTTCAGTCCCATAGGGTGAGAACCGAAGGGATGTTCGGTTACAAGGGAGGCTCGGTTGCAAGGCTTATGGACCAAAGGTAGTCTGGACCCGAACTGAAAGTGGGTAAGTTCGAACTGAAAGTGGTTTCAGTCCAAAGGTGACTTCGGTCCTATGGGGCTTCAGTTCTGAGAGGTTCGGCTCTTAAGGGTGAGTTCGGTCTCTAAGAGGGTTCGGTCCAAGCAAGTTCAGTTCTTACAAGGAGCTTCGGTCCTAAAGAGTAGTTTCGGTTCTAGAGGGAGGCTTCGGTTCTAATAGGGACTTCAATCCTATATGGCTATTTTACCAATAAACTTCCCGTTTTGCGTGGTTTTTGACTATGTTAAGGGTAGGGATGCCCCGAATGATTATAAAAAGTTAAGGGAGGTTATGAGAGAGATTTGGGATAGAGAGAGATAGAGCGAGAGAGATTAAGAGAGACTTTGTTTGTGACCTTTGCGAGTGTTTAGCTTCGAAATGCAAGGTTTGTAAACCCCATTAAGCCTCGTTATGAGTGTTATACATCCCTGGAGGGTATGCAATAGTGTTATATTGTTTTTCTACATCACTTACCCTTATTAGAGTTTAGAATTTCTGAACACATGAAACTTCCAAGCGATACTTTGTATTAACATAGCGAGTTGTGCAACATTAAACATAATGTAAACCCTAATATACTAGGTTAGCTAAGTTGACCGATTTGACTTGTTGACTTTTATTTGACTTTGACTTGACTAGAAATTGACGGCTGTCACATGAGTACATAAGGATTTCAACCCCACAGTATTTATATATATATATATATATATATATATATATATATATATATATATGAATGTGCAATATACAATTTCACCTCATATTAGCAATTTACCCCACCCCGTCGATCCTCACAACGACAAGATTTATAGTTTCGGATCTAAAATGAATGGCTTTACCTAATCCATACTTCCGGATCGGGTATGAATGACTATGACTAATCCATGCTCTCGAATCAATGACAAATGATTATGCCCAATCCATACTCTTGGAATAGGGACGAATGACTATGTCTAATCCATGCTCTCAGATCAAAAACAAATGTTAGTGTTCTACCCTTCGTGTATATCTCACCCGCTCTTAAGGAGACACTACCGATGGTCGATATTCATATTAATTAATTTAGGTCTATTTCGTAAGTCCTAAATCTTCATATATTATTAGATATGTTCTTAACACGTATTCCAGGCAATAGAAAATGTCTCACACATAAAATCTTTAACACATATTTAATACTTTAATTAATAATTGTATTAAAATCATGTTCATGAAAGGGACTATGAAATCACTTGTTAAAGTGATGATTGGAAATTCGGACAACACTTCGCTTTTAGCAACCGTCTTTCCTTTGACGTAACCTAGTATCATTATCACTAAGCTTAGTATAATATTTATTGAGACTAATTATTAGTCTAGATTTATCATTAATTCAAAGTCTACTGATCTATAGTTGATAAGGGACAACCAGGTAGTATCATATTAGAGGTAGGGTTTGTTTGGTATACAAAGTATACAGTTTGGAAATCCACTTTAAACACCTCACTAAATCCAGCCTAGACATCATCCCTGTAAGTAGATCAAATAATATAACAACTTGGAATCATTGATAAATCTTGCTTATAAGTTCATAACATGGTGGCAGAACTCGGGATTAATCGTTTGACGTTCTCCAACCGATTAGGATTAGTGTGTTTGATGGAAATTAGGGATTAATCGTGTTTGACAGGATTAATTGGTCAGAAAAGTCAACAAAAGTAAAAAATGTCAAAAAGAAGTTCAAAAAATTAAAAAAAATTACTCCAAAATTTTGAAATTTTCAAAATTTCAAATATTATACAAAAATGTTCATATTTTCAAAATTTCAAATTTCAAATTCTCTTATTTTCTAATTTTGAAGTACTTATTTTTCTTAAAATATATTATCTTTGATTAATATTGATATTTTATTAATAATCTATGGTTCTCGTTTAATCCCCGATTAATCTTCTTCAAGACCGATTAACCCCTTAACATTAGTCGACCGTCGAGCTATCGTCGAACGATTTTTACAACTTGGTTCATAATAACGATAATGAACTTAAACATAAGTTATATTTTAATCACGGTAAGCATAACTCAACTTATAGGTGGTTTAGCGAAAAACCGAACTTTGCGCGGGCAGAAGTTCTAAACCGAAAGATCTATTTCTCGCGGCTTTTCAGGCGCTCCGGAGCTTCGGTATTAACACTTAGGAAGTTCTAGAGAAATACATTGAGGCCTTGGGGAATTTTGGGAGAGAATAGAATGGAAATGTGTGAGGAAAAGAGTGAAATTCCAGTTTAATTTATAGGCTGCCAGGAGCCTAATACGCTGGGCGTACAAAAATTTACGCTAGGCGTAATAAGCTTAATAGCGTAATGCTGGGAGTACATAAGAATTATGTTGGGAGTAACTTTCCACATGTCAACATCTGGTGGCAAGCCGCGGGAGGAAGGGGGTGCATTAGATCGCAACACGTATCACACCGAGGTTAATCCGAAAATTAATTATCTTGCAAAATTCATAACTTTCACATATAGGTTTCGTTTTTATGTTATTTATATCCACGCATAGCTATTGGTGATATCTACAACTTTCTTCTAGACTCTGTCAACTAGTCTTGGCATTCTTTTTAAAATTATATTTTAATAAGCTTAAATAGTTAAAGTTCGTTAAAATTTCATAACTTTGTCATCTGACGCATGTTTTCGACTTTCTTTATATCGTTGAGCTCATATTAATGATATCTTTAATTCTCGTTTAGATTATCGATCTAAAATTCAATTTTGAGTTGCACATTGCTACGCTGAATTTTAGAAAAATCATAACTTCCTCAAATGAAATCAGATTTGGACGTTCTCTATATGCATGCTGTCGGTTTAATGAATACTACGACTTTTGTTTAGATTAATAAGGCTGAAAAGTAATTTATCAAAAATTTACTTTTTACGATACACAGATCCGTGCAGGTTTATCTTTGAAACTTCAACGGGTTATAACATCTTTGTTATAAGTCAGATTTCAGCGTTCTTCGTATGTACGAAATACTTGTGACATATACTATAACTTTGGTTAAGATTATGCATCATAAATAATATTTTATCAAGAAAATTTATTTTTAACGTTTATTATCGCTAAATTAACTAGCTCGAATTTGTGGGCGTTACAATCTGTGACGAGGCTATTGTGTACCAAGGTGGATCACTTGACCCACCTAAATTTAATTTTTTTTACAATAAGTTATATATAAAATTTATTTAGGACCTACCTTAAATATTTTGTATAACCTACCTAAATGTGTTTGAAAAAAAGAAAAAGGAAGAAAAAAACATAAACTATACACCATATAAGAAATATCATATTCAGTGATATGAAAAAGTCCCACATCGACTCCAAAAACAAAATGGTGAACGTTTTTCCTTTATAAATAGATGTTTTCTCTTTCACATTTCCATACCAGAAACTTGTTCAGACATGTTTTTGATTGATTTATTCCAAGTATAATTTTGTTTTAGTTAAAAAAAAAAATTAAAAGAAAGACCGATTTGGGCTTGGTCCTTTCACTTCTAATTTTTTATATGTTTAACTAGTTATTTTCTGGTTGAACCGACTCGATTGAATCTAATTTTCTCTTGAATTGACATGATTGAACTTAGTTAGGGAAACATATGGTTTTCTATTCTAGAATCGCTATCGGTTACAAAAGATATTACACAGTTACAAATAATATTTACATAACTAATAGTACCTTGCCCGTTTCGGTAAAATGAGCAAAACACATTGTTACTCCCTACAATTTGCCATTTTAATTTTAGCAATATCTAAAAGTCCTTTCTAAAAAAATATCTAAAAAAGTTCTTGCTAAAAAAATATCGAAAAGTTCTTATCGTCAACTATAAATAGAAGTACACTCAATTCTAGTTGTAGTTAATGCATAAACGCTGATCAAGGGGTGGTGACCAAGTTCAAAGTATCGTTTCGAATAAATGCGCACATTTAATAGTAGATTTAGGAAGCATGTTATTTACCTCTTTAAAAAAAAAATGAATACAATCAAAGTACATACAATATGTCCAATGCAATATTCATAGCCAAACACAATGTAAACCACCGAAAAATAAATCATTAAATTTGGCTTTTTATTCACTTCAAGCGTAAATCCACATTCAACAACAAAGTACAATTATTACTCGTAAATAACACAAATATTAGGTGATCAATATACTAAAAAATCAAACGACTTGGTTAACACCAACAAATTAGTACACAGCATCGAAACACATATTCCTTCATATAACGGAAGAAAATACACCTAGTTCTTGAAGAATTCTAAGCAATGTTCTTGATCAAGGTTTCTAGTCCAAAACTTCGCATAGTATTCTGCATAAGTAAATTCTTTGAAAACAGGTTTTGATCCTTCCTTTATTATTTCTTTAGGAGCCCTTATAACCGTGTCATTACAAGGACACAAAAACGAAGCTATAGACATTCGCGGGTTGTCTGAGTTAACCACAGCTCGATGCCATACACTTTTATATTCACCATTACTCACCGCCTATAAAAAAAAAAAAAACTCCGGATTTAATTATTGTTGCTTAACAAGTACTGTACTTAATAAAACATTATCAAGTTAATTAATTACCTCTAACTGATCACCAATGTTAATTACAAACGCATTAGGGTGTGGTTTAACGGCTAACCATTTACCATCTTTGAGAACCTGAAGACCAGAGACCAATGTGTCTTGTAGGAGGATGGTGAGGGCGTTGGGATCTGTATGCCCGGGTAGCCCGTAGGTTAGCTCGGGCTCAGGGCACACTGGGTAATGGTTGATGGCCATGTGTTGACCTTGATCGCCTAATATAGTTTTTATTTCTTCTTTTTGTAACCCTAAACTTTCTGATATTGATTCTAATATTCTCATTCCTAAATCTCGGACTGCTGTACAATAATTACCAACATATTCTCTGAAAAGAAAAAAACGAACCAATATGAACATGTGAAATAATTAAAACAGTGACTACCACTATGAACATTTAATATATATATTTTTAGATAAATAACAGTGACACGTTAATTATAAAAATAACTGTTAACTGTTGCAGAGACTTTTAAAGTCAATACTAAACCGGGAAAATAAAATAAAATAGTGACGTCAACACGGGATGTGAGATACGACGCAAGCATACCGCGTTGAGATTTGGAATCAATGGGCATCACACATAATGTCGCGCTGTCCTATTAATATTTAAATAATTAAATTTTAGTTATTAAGTACATACTATATTAACGTTATGCTTAATTTACGGAAAAGTATCGTTTAATGCACCTCCTTTTATATATAAAACACGTAACAAAGATTATAAATTAAAAACTACCGACAAAACACATAAAACCTTTTATATATATATATATATATATATATATATATATATATATATATATATATATATATATATATATATATATATATATATATATATATATATATATATATAATTTGTTCATCTGACATAAACAGTATTAATCCTAGTTTTTTGAGACAAAGATTTTAAATTAAAAACTAACGACAAAACACATAACAAAGATTATAAATTAAAAACTACTGACAAAACAGTTAAAACCTTATATATATATATATATATATATAAAATTTGTTCATCTGACATAAACAGTATTAATCCTAGTTTTTAGGGACAATGATTATAAATTAAAAACTAACGACAAAACACATAAAACCTTAAATATTTATAGAAACATCACACACATGTATTTGTTAAGTCTTTCTGTGCACATGGTTTGTGTCCAAACATAACACATGCATTAGTTTTATGTTCTAGTACATCATAAATATAGGAATGTACAATTTTTACCGGACATTGGATAAAATTGGTAATTATTGTCAAAAAAAAAATTCTTTTATGCATAACATAATAATTTATGTTTTATTCGATTGTATAGTATAGCACTTTAAATTATAAATTGTTGTGGAAGTACAAATCAACTCCAAACTTATATAAAGATAAGTTTGTATTAGTTCTATCTTAGAAATTATGTTTGATGACACTCTCGTGTGTCTATCTTACAAATTATGTTACATTATCTATTTATTCAAATAAAATTATCAAATTTAAACATTAAAAGTTATAAGTGACATCATAAAAATAGTCATTGCTTACGTCACATGTTAACAAGTCATTGAAGCAACCACTATTATTAAATATCTTGCTAGCCTACGTCGGCATGTGCCATCAACCTAAATAACATGTATAGACTCGGTCATAATTATTTAATTTATTGTGATGTCAATAATTTTGATCCTTTTAAAAATTATAGGGTTGTAGTTGTAGCATCTCCCCAAAACATATTATTCTAGAAGACCAAACCCAATTTTTCTTAAGACTGAACGATGTGGACAATATTCATTTTCGTTTTCATGACATGACATCGGAAAAACGACATGATAACACCGACACCCTGTCCTGATCCGGTATAGACGTTATGTTGCGACGCGTAGTGATGGTAAAACAAGGAAATGAGAGTTTTTGGACGAATGTTATCGTTGCAGGTTCGAAAATGATGAGTGTTATCTCCCTTGTTGTGCATACTGGTACAACGAAGAACACAATAACTTTTTGGTTTGGATAGTTTTGACCCTTCAAGTCCCACATTCTTATGATCGAGTTAAACTCCTAGTTAAATTTGTCTTACAAATCTGATTTCCAAATAATAAAAAGCATTTGGACCATGAACTTATTATTATTATTATTAAAATAACGTTTTATTAATTTATAATTTTATATTTGTTTTTTTATAATTATTAAAAAAAATGATGACTTGTAAATTAAAGGATGTTATAACATCTTTGTCAGTTTCTACACTTGGTGTTATAATGTACCATATATGATATGACCGGTGATGTGTCAACTTTTAGATGTAATAGTATGTTTTAACATGTTGTCCATATCTACCGGTTAAATAAAAATATATTGGATTATGATTGATTTATTACCATCAATGACTTGTATTATTAACTTTATTTATATTAGTATATGATATGAATATTTGTACAATGATAAATTGTTCTTATTTAAAATGTATACAATAACAAAACCCAAAATCGCATAATAAAAGGGTTGAAAAAAATAGATGTAGGCAATCTCATATATATCGGAAAACCAGAACATATATATTATAATAAATCTTTAAATAAGTTCTTCTACCTGAATAAATATAATAATCATATATATATATATACACGTAAATATATCATGATAGATTTTTAATTAAGCTGTTTCACCTGAATACATATTATAATGTTAAATACAAGTTAACTTAAACAAGCTATGATATAATATTAAAAAGGCTAAACATAGATGCTCACATCAACTATTAAACTAATTTTGACATTGTGACCCTTTAGTTTGTGTAGGTAATCAACACTAAAACTAATCAAAGTCAAAAATCAAAACCATATAATAGTCTTTTTTTGACATAAAATTACAATAAAAACTATAGTGTAACCAAAAAACCATTTGCAAAGGCTAAAGTCATATTTGGACACTAATTCGTTGGAATTTCTTTGGCAGCCTTATTCAAGAGCACCTAGTAGACCAAATTTCAGGATAAAGGTCTACATTTTCGGCTTCTTTTAATTTTTTGTCAATTTAATCAGTGGACCAATCACATATACAACTTTTTTTTTTTTTAATGCATTATCACATAGATTCATTGTGTACTTAACAAGTATATCTAATTTCGAAAAGTATCATGCACTGTTTCATCATCATGTCATCGTCACAAATAAGACAGATTTTTATGTTATGTGTTAAAGCTTAGCTGCTACAGCTCCAATTAAAACGTTTGGATTGAGTAGTTGTTGTCGATTTTATGATTCTTGTGTTAACAAAGCTGATGATAAAATACTGAAATGATCAGCAATCAGTTAAGAAAATTCAATATGCAACAACTCACATGATGCTGCTATAACACATTTTTGACGTGATATTCAAAATGCACGACACGTATCATGAACACTGTGTATGTATGTTTGTGTGTGTGAGAGAGAGAGGGTAGGAGAGATTTGGGGAAAAGATGAATTACTTGAAATAAGAAGGATTCGAAGGCCATTCAGGACTGTATTGATCCAGAGGATAACAGTGAAGCCGGAGATAATCTCGCCAGTTATGAATTTGTTCTTTTTGGACGTTAAAGCTGGTGGATAGCCTCATCGTCTTGGATGGATCCTCTGAGTAAAGCTTCATCTTCTCTTCCACAGGCAACAGGAAAAACTCCCTACCTACTTGTTGCATTTTCTCCACTATTTCATCAGGCACACCATGATTAATCACCTGAAAATTTGTTCTCCACGTCAATTCCTTCCTTTATTGATCGATAAGCAAAAGAAATTTATTACCTGGAAAAAACCGTATCTTCTACAAGCATCGCCAATTTGTTGGCTTATGAGTTGTCTATCACCACAACCGATGTCAATAACAGGAACGTCGTTGCAATCGGAAACTTGAGATAGGTTAGGTCTGTCGTTAACCGGACGGACGTAGCTCTCCGGTAGAGTAGTATACCGGAATCCACTGGAGATGACTTTTGCGGCCATTAATTAGGATTGGGACGGTGGCCGGTGTAGGTGGTTAACGGTGGTGAGATTTGTAGGACCCAGTGGAACGATTCTGTAAAAGTAAAGGCAATTGCGAGGCAAGTGAGGAATCATGTGCTCAATATATAGAATGCTAATGTACATACGATATGCGTTTAGAAAACGGGAAGTTTGGTTCCAACTGACAAAAATGTACACATGGTTTTAAAAAGAGAATTGATTCCTAGGCAATAATTTTTTTTTAATACATATCAATATATGCATTAAAGGATTATATTGTATAATTTTATAAAACATTAATTACTTTGCATGGATAAAAATTATTGTGTACCAAAAAATAAATTTCCTTTGCTTCTATTTACATAACCTAATCCAATTAAAATTTCATTCCCATTAAAAAACCTAGATCATTTATGAAATTAATATAAAACAATCCGTTATACCTACCACATACCACGTATGTTGTGGGTGTCATATCAACACCATATTCTCCTACCACTAATATAAGATATCTATCAATAACACACCACTACACATTATTATTTTTATTTATTTTAATTCAAAATTACAATAAAATTATATTTTTTATAATTAAAAAGCATTCAGTTTTTTTTTTAAACTAGATTTTCATTAATTATAAAAATAAAATTACAACTTCAAACTATATTACTTAGTTAATCTAGAAAAAAAAACATTGCATTAATTAAAAAAACAAACAAACATACATATAAAAACCTAATCGTCGTTCATACTATGTTGGTACAAATGTTCTGCGACATCTTCTTGAAGATTGAAACACGTTTCACTGTTATGAATTTCAACAACTCGCTCTAAAAACACGTTCGTTCCGGATACGAACTCCTCAATTGAAACGACAACGTCGTTCGAATCATATGTGCAAATCGATCGACCTTCATCTTCAATAATCATATTATGCATTATAATACATGCTAGGACCATTTGTTTAATTATTTCTTTATCTCAGAGTCGTGTAGCATATTTCACTACATATCATGTCTGCTTAAAGACTCCAAATGCTCTCTCGATATCATTTCTCGCCGATTCCTGTTTTTTTGTAAACAACTTTGCCTTTTCACTTCGAAGAACCGAGTATGCCTTCATCAATGTAGAATAATCCGGGTATATCCTATCACCAAGGTAGTAACTGTATTTGTACGCGTGCCCGTTCACCGTGAACGTCATATCAGGTGCTTTGCTGGTCCAAATATCGTTGAAAAGTGGAGACTGGCCAAGAACATTAAGGTCGTTGTTAGACCCCGCTACTCCAAAAAAGGCATGTCATATCCACAAATCTTGAGATGCAACAGCTTCTAGGATGATAGTTGGTTCACCTATATCTCATCGAGTGAACTGATCACGCCATGCATTTGGACATTTTCCCCAAGCCACATGCGTACAATCTAGACTGTCAAGCATACCCAAAATTCCATGCCTCTCTTCATGAGCCGAATATAATCTCTAAATATCACGTTGATTAGGTTTGCGAAAATATTCTTCGTGAAAAACCTCATAAACACACGCAGAAAACCAATCTACACATTCAACTACGGTTCTCTCGGATACTTTCAAGTATTCATCAGATGCATCAAATGCTATACCGTATCCCAAATACCTAAGAATAGACGCACATTTTTGTGTACTACTAAAACTCATTCTTCCTCTAGCATCGGGTTTTTGTTTGAAAAAATCAGACGGAAACGACGTTCGAATGAGTCGTCATTATAAAGACAATTATTGGCAAAGTAATCACGTACCAATAAGTCGTGTGCGGCTTGGCGATCACGATTGACGACCGCCCTTGTACGAGTTGCATTTGAACTTTCTTCGTCGTGAATGTGTTGCACAACGTTTAAGAATGTCTCGACGAATTCTACGTCGTCATCCGAATCAAAAGTTTTTAAAAATTCCATATATTTTGTGCAATCCATGTATATGTATTTTGTGGTTTTAGATAATAAAATGAGGTGTAAGTTTTGGTGAAAATAAAAGGTTTATTTATAAGTGAATTTAGTTTGAAAAAAAAAAGAAGAAACGGGCAAAATAGCCGTTCAACGGCCAAAAAAAACCAACCACCAATCACCTTCTTCATTTGATTTCGTCGTCGGGAGCACAAAGGATCACGACCACGCCTAACCACGGAACGTCGGGGTGGTGTGCTGCATTTTCGTGGCCAACTAGACCACGAGTCCATTCGTGGTATGTATACCACATGGCCTAATTTATAATTATGTTTTATTCTCTTAAAAATTATTAGAATTAGTAAATTATATGAACATGTGGTTTGAGGTAGTTAAATGCATGTTTAGTCCTTATTTTTTTTAACCCGTACCGTTTCTGTGATATTGTTTTGTTACGATGTTGGTCCCAACGAATGTAAAAAGACCAAATTACCTTTATTATTATTATTATTATTATTATTATTATTATTATTATTATTATTATAACATAAACTAAAACAAATTAAAAAATCAAATAAGATAAAACAAAACTTAAAACAAATTAAAGGTTGTATTCCATCTTCATCCCTTCATCGATACATCCCCTTCTCTTACTGTCCACTCCATAGAGCCTTCACACATCTCTTGTCAGAAACTGACATTGTCACCCTCATCTAATCCCACACCACCTCTCTACATTTATGAAGACTCAAAAAGCCTCCATCGCCATCCCTTTTTACACATAACTCTCCATCACCTCCATTTATGAAGATTGAAACAACTTTATCGTTCCTTTCTCTTGCTAGAATTAGTGACATCGTTAACATGTGATAACATTCAGGCAACCAATGGCTTGATATATGAGGTGTTTACTTCAAAAACTAGATTACCGAACTCACCATTCAGCGATTGGCTACCGTGGAGGTTTTAAGCCATTCAAAGTTTGGCTCGTTATATTGATAAGATCTTTCTTGAAGCATGGACATTTTTTTGAAACAAAAAATTTGTATTCTACTCCCAAAATTATCTATGTCCCGAGTGAGACTTTAACGTTCGACGACCTCATGGAGAGAGGGCACACGTCATACTGAATTATCCTCTATGATTATGGTGGTTAGATATAAAATTTGTGCAAGAAATTAGTGTATTCACCGTGGATCATATCTAATTTCTCCATCAATGTATTTAGTTTTAGTATCGGCACGTGTGATTCCCTATCTTGGGGTTAAGAATTTATGTTATGAAAACCTTTTTTCCTCACCTCAACTTCATCTAAATCTGTAATCATTTAAGTTTGATTGTTGAACAGCTTTGTCGCCAACGCAAAAAAATAAATCGGTATGCTGCTAAGAATTTGATCAGTAAATGTCCATTTCAAGTTTCATTTTAAGGTTTAATTTCAAGGTTGATATTCAGTATTGGTTTTCGTTTGGTTGAGATTTCCAGTTTTAGATTTGATGTAATGCCAGTGGTGATCGTCTTTGACCACCGATGGTGGTCATGAGATATTTCAAGAAGGAAGAGTGGGTGGGAAAGATTGGTGGGTCTCGATAACAGATAGTAAAAATAAAAGATAAAAATAAATAATAAAATTAAAACAAATAAAAAATACTATTAAGAATGAGTAATATAATCATTTTATGCTAGGGACCAACATCGTGACAAAACAATATCACAAATAGTGGCGAATCTAGAACAAAATTTTATGTGGTTCCCAAATGAAGTGAAGTCGATAAAAAAATTGTGACAACCTAAATTTTTTTTGCTTTGAAAGCTCAGTCAGTTAACTCAACTCAGTGCCAGACTCACTCCTACTATCATTTAGCACAATTTAGAGTCTGTTTGAGTGTTCTGAGCCTAGTATTGTAACAACGTAGATTTTCAAAACAATTTTTCATCTCTTTAAACCATAATTTCATTCAAGACAAACCATAAAATCCATTGTAACATAGTCATAGTACAAAACATATCAAATCCCAAGATCAAATATATCCAAATCTGCCTGTGTGTGTGTACGAGTCATGCCGGCACCTTTCCACGGTCCTCGCTAGTACCTGAAACACATAACACAACAAGTGTAAGCATAAATGCTTAGTGAGTCCCCCAATATACCACTTACACACATACATCTTTCCAGGCCATACTCCACACGACCTTCCGGTCCATGTGTCTCAGGGGACTTCCGTCCCAACCCGGTAAACCTTCCGATCCTACCTGTGTCGACCTTCCGGTCCATGACTCCCAGACCTTCCGGTCTACATCATTATGCCTTCCGGCCCATATCAAGCATAGCAAACATATTACATATAAAACACACAACTCATAGCATACAATGCATATATCTTATAGCATACCAGACCTTACGGTCACACATAGGTACCCTTGCAGGTACAGTATAGTGCGAAGACTTACCTCGTATGATGTCTAGTGTCTCACGTGCTCGATATCTCTGAATCTCGAAATAACGACCTAGCCTCGCCTAATCACATCAAGTAATCATTCCAAATCATTAACGACTCTCAAGGATATACTACATTCCTTTCTACAATTCCATAGAAGGGTAAAAGACCATTTTACCCCTCCCTGACTCAAAAGTCCACATGTTGACCAAAACCCTAAAAGTCAACAAAAGTCAACAACAAGCAGTACGCTGGGCGTACCAACTCATGTATGCAGGGCGTACCCTTGCACTCCAGAATCGGGAACGTGACCCCCTACGCGTCGCGTACTAGGATTACGCCCAACGTAAATCCCAGTTTCTTACTTTCTTCATTTTAGGTCTTAAATAGTTAAGACATAATATCACATTCTAGATCTGGCCATTCTAATACCTCTTAATCCATAAAGTCAAAACCTTTAAGCCTTTGCATGGCTATAAAAGTTCCTACACCTTCTAACACCTTTCCTTTCTCCTCCAAAAGTCTAGATTTCATGCATGGTCCAACATTTATGTCCAAGATTACATTTTTATGAACATACAACTCATATAGTCCTGAAATATGATAGATCTAGGCCAATGAGGACTATTTGCTCATAAAGTCTCCGTCTTGGGACCTTAAACCCTAGAATTTGGTCCATGAAGCACACAACACAAATAACAAGGCAAGTTCTGAACTTTATACCTCAGGAAGAAGCTCCAACCTCTGTAGACCTCAGATCTACTCTTGTCCACCAACTTCTAGCTCCTACAATGGCCTCCTCTTCTCTTTCACCACCTTGAAATGTCACTTTAAA